TGCGCCGGCTGGGCTTTCCTCCCGGGTGGTGCGCTGAAGAGCCGTCGGCGCTCTCTCCAGCTGCTGCCCCCCGGCGCAGTTTGCCCGGGATGCTGAGGCTGCCACCACTCCCACCACCCTGGCCCACTAAGCTTTACTTTCCGGAGGGCTTCGGGGAGTCTACGTTTTCCCCATCCGCAGGGAACAAATAGCTTAAAGGCTTCGGTCAGCTCTGTGGCTGCTGACCCAGAAAGCTCGGACCTTCTTGATACTCCTCTGCCCACCCCTCTGTCCTCCTCCACGATGTGGGAGAGGAGCGCTCGGTGCCAAGAGTCCCAGCCCGGCCCATACCTGGCTGTCTCCTGCCGGCTGGTTCCTCCTCTGGCTCGGCTGACAATTAAGTCGGCGCGTCTGCTTCCTGTGTATATCCACGATCGTGAGAATGGAACCGAGGATTCAAATGTTGCCTTGGAAAAGCTCCGTGATGTGATTGCTCAGTGTATTCTCCCCCAGGCTGGTAAAGGTCACACCATTTACAAAGTGTGTGTGTGTGTGTGTGTGTTGGAGCAGGAGTGCCCTGCAGGGTTCCCAGGTTAACTTCTGGGTGCTGGTGGCCCAGCCCGTTCCTGTGACTTCTCCTTGGCCCTCCTGGTAAAGCGCCCAGAAGCCACTGCTCGCGGGAAGGACTGATACCCGCAGGGGGGACCAGGCCTCCGGTCTCTGCTCGGCCCGCAGGGACGCCCTCTTCCCGGCGTCCGCCTGAGAAGCCTCCAGATTTGAAAATCAATTCAGCTTCGGGCGTAATTGTCCGCTTCTCACAATCACGCTCCAATCTGGAATCGAACTTGGTCCTTGGGCCTGGTGGGGACGCGTGGGGCGGCCCCCAGTGTGGGATGTACACCCGGCCACCACATGCCGCGGCTTTCTTTCATTTACAAAGGAAAGAGAAAAAAAAAATCTGCAACAAAAGGCAGAGCCGTGTCCGCTTAGGTGCTTTCATCCCTCAGAGAAAGGACAGATGTGCCCATTGTCAGGCTCTTGGCAGTTACGACCGGGTCAGCGCCAAGCCTCAGCCCCGGGCGAAAGGTGGTCACAATGGGAGCCTGCCTCTCAAAGCCTGGGTATTTGGGCCCGGATATGGAATAAAGTGTGTGTGGCCTGCACTGGTCCAAACTCAAATTGTACTTCCCTTTGCTGGGATACCGGGTCAGAGCCCACCAGAGGTGTTTCTACTGAAAATGCTCCCAGATCCCAGGAGACATCAGGGCTGGGATGGAGGTAGCAGAGGTGACTGGTTCCCCTAGGGCCTAGGCTAGGCAAAAGCTTGGGCAGGGCCACCCTTGGGGGAACTTCCCACCAGCTAAGGCATGAGCAGGTCCATCTCTTTGCCTAGGTTCTTGCCACCACCAGGACATCATGATCCAGGTAGGTCAGACTGGTGGGTACAGTCAGTCAGCCCAACTTCCTTGAAAGTGGTCATGTCCTGGAATTGGTTAGTCTGGCTGATTTGGTCACCAGAGACACTCCTATCTTGTCCAAACAATGCCTACGGAGGCCTTGGAATTGGGGATCTACTTCAATGGATTTAGCATCTACTTGCCCAGTGAACATTTAGGAATTTAAGGCCCCCAGAGAGAAAGAAGATCTTTGGGGAAAATACACTGACATAAAGAAACTCAGAAAACAAAATTACTCTATTTAAACTTTTATCTACATTTATCTATCCAGAGAAACAAGCATAAAGTGTATTTTCTGCCTAGTGGATCACAATATGTTAGTGGGAAGCTGCATTCTTGTTTCCTTATTGTTTTTGTTCTCTTTTTGTCATAGCATAGAATGTGTGGGTCTCACAGGAAACCAGACAATGGGTTAACGTAGCAGGCAGCTTTTGAGCTAAACTATTGTCTCCCCATACCCCCATATTTTAATCCCTTGGAAATTATTGACTTGTCCATATGACAAGTCTTTTCCCAAAAGGCAGTTTGTCAAAAGAAAGAAGTAAATACCACCAAGTGCACAAATTGTTCATGGTTTTTTCTTTGTGTATCTAATTAGGGGCTTGATTTGGAAACCTTTCTTCACAGGGAGCTCTGGCTGAGCCCCTAGACTCTAGGGCCTAGAGGCTACCTGAAGAGGGCTGGGATCAGGTGAGCAAAACTCCCCCATTCCCTTTGTGAAAAGGGGGGCTGGTTCAGTGTTGGTCCCTAAAGGAGAAGTCAAAGAAAAGATCTAGACAAGCATTGTCTATGTTGAATTAATATGTGTGCAGGACTTGCTTTGGTTTGAAAATCTCCCTAATCTTTCTTGGCTATTCATGCTATTATATTTAACCATGGTTTTCCTATAGTTGACTGAATTACAGTGATTTCTCAGAAACATTTTATCCTTACTTGATTTTTTGGACATTTTTCCTCTATGAAGGAAAGGGGTGGCTTCCCTTAGGCCAGATTAAAATGAGAGAGAGAGAGAGGCGCTAAACATTGCCAATTGCTGAGATAGCTTTTTGTCATGTTGTCTCCCTCTTCCCTTCCCCCTTCCAGTGCTCAGCAGAATGCTTGGCACCCATCAGGTGCACTGTGGGGGGAATGAAACAATTCAAACCCAAGGAGAAGTTCCTTGAAACTACTTGGTTGATCAGTGTATTACCGTATGCAGTTCCAGGGGAGGGCTTATTAGCAACTGGTTAGATTTTGAGTAGCTGCAGGGAACTTAAAAAAATAATGTCAATCATCATCACAAAATTACATACATGTGTATATTTAAGAAAAAGGGAAATAAGACTATTGACTAGATGCTTGTTGCTGGTAATATTTTCAGTGTGGAAACCAGGATTTCAGACTGCTTATTTTGTAAATATCGGGGTGGTGGTGGTGGTGGTGATTGGGCAGGTAAAATCTTTCCCATGCTGGATGAGCTAGAGCTTACCAGGTGACCCCATTAAACTTAGAAAAGAGAATGAAAATAAGTCCATTCCTCCAAATGCTGGCCACACAAGCTTTTCTGAAAACTTCCTTCAGCTTCAGAGCTCCTGCTTTAGTTTTCTTTGTGAGTAATAGAGAGCTAACATATGGCCTCATCCCAGTTTTCTGGGCCGTTCCAAAGAAATGTTTTGAGAGCCCCTCTGAGACATTGAATGTTTACTTCCCATTTGTTGACCACATAAAGAGCAAGGCTGGGTGTCAGGGCAGATCTCCCCCCACCCCCACCCCCGCCCCCAGCCAAGTTCCAGTAAGCGGCTGGCTCCTTGGCCAGAGTTTCAGAAGGTAACTCACCAGTGTTTCTGATGCTTGAAGCAAGTCTAGAATTAAACTCCTGGCGAGGAACCATTTCTTCAGTGTCTGGCAACAGTATACTGGCCACAACTTGATAACTATGGGGTGAAGGATTTGGTGGTGCTTTCTGCCAGGCTCTCTTGTCTTCCTCCCGCCTCTGGAGAAATTTAATTCAGAAAATTGCTGTTGGCTTGAATAGAACACCAAGAAATTCAGAAGGGGGTGGTCTGGTGATTCCCATTGAAAACCATTTAAAAAATTAATCAATGACTTCTCTGTACTCTCTGGGGGCCAAGGAAAGGGTAACCAATTATTTTAGCCCTCTTCATTAATCTTTGATCTTCTATTAGCATATAGTTTTTAATTCATCTGTTCAGTTTTTTCCCTTTTTAAGCTAAATTAAGGGTTTTGCTCATAACAGTATGTATATTTTATACTCTGTTTTTGCACTCTCCTTTGTTCTATGGCCTACCTACCCTCTCCAAATCCAAAGAGAAGGTACTCTGGTGAAGGGCTCTCCCCAGCTGGTGCCATCTCCAGCTGACCCTGGGATTCTGGGAGATGCGGAGGGTGGCCAGGAGAGCTGTGCCAGGACCTCAGACCCCTTGCCAGCATTTCCAGTTACTTCATCTCTTGGGCCATCCGATAAGCTAGAAGTGGCTCTCTTGGGTTTAAATCTGTTCTTGTGGTCCCCAGTTTCAATGAGGACTTTTCAAGGCCTCAGGCCCAGTGCCCTGAAGGGAGGAGTGTCCTAATATTGTGGAGGGGTCTAAGGCTCCCTGGTGATGCTTGGGCTGCAGAACCCCGCGCTGCTTTCCTCAGCCAGTTGGATTCTGGGGGAGTTGCCCTTTCTCTTGTCAAACTTGCAGTCGATTTTTCTTTCTTTGATCTTTATATCGTTGAAGTACATTTCAAAGGAGATCTGTCGGGACTACCGGGGGTGGACTTAGTGACGGATTTTCCGGGTTTGAGGCGGTGGTTCAGGATCCTCTCCGGGTGCCTAGAATCTAGATTAGGAGGTGCAAGGGTAGTGTGCTAGTGTTCGGGACTAGGAGGACAGGGCAAGGGGCAAGGGGCCCTCTCGCTGGTGCAGTTCTACTCCGAAGTGGGAAAACTCAGAGAAAAGAGGGCGGTGGGAGACCAAAGTCGGCTTGGCTCAAGATGGTCTCCAGATGCACCATCCCGGGCCTTGTAGGAAGGACGCAAGTCACGGGTTGCAGCCCCGCCAGGAGCCTGCGGCGGTGGCGGCGGCCAGGGGTGGACCAGTTGCACCGCCCACCCCACCCCGGGGCCCATTGGCGCCCTGCGGCCCGGCGGCGCGCGGCCCACTCGGCAAACTCCTCCACAGCCTCACAGGATGACGAGAGCAGCTGCACTTGGGAAGGAAAACTCTTTAAACAAATCATTTTGGTGTCTAATCAATTAGTGTTTGCGCAGTCAAGTACCATAGATTTAACAGAATAATCGTTACCGCCCTTGTCTTTATTTGACACGCAGACACCTAGATGATTTAAA